TGAGATCAGCTCCGCACTCGGGTGTGCCGGCAGGCGCTTACAGAGGCCCTGACGGTGAACTCCGTGCTGGCAGAGCTTGAGCTGACCAATTGCGACATCGGTGCGGACGGCGCGAAGGCCCGGCCTGCATGCCTTCGGCAATCGAACTCACAGCTGTCGGCTGCTACTCCAAGAGGCGCTCCAGCTTTTGCTCGGCCATTCAATGGCCTGTTAGAAGAATCCGTGTTTTTGTTTGGCGGATTTCGTAGAGAAGATGGACGCCGGAGGGTTCCGTCCTCCAGAGTGACATCTATTGCGGTCGTAGGATCGTAGAAGTCCTTGACACTAATTCCTTTCATTTTGTTTCCTTGTGTTCTGAAGATAGCGTGGAGATACGAGAGTGACGAGAGACCCTACTGCTTGGGGGAAGGGTGGCGGTGGTAGGTGGAGTGGAATGGCAAAAATGGGTGCCAGTTAGAAGCAAATGGCATCGAAGGATCCCTGCCCTAGCATAGCCTATACGGCCTAGGGCTCTCAATGCCCGGGCCCACGAGAAAAGTGAGGCGGCCATTCACCATTCCCCTTTCTCGTTGCGGTGCTGGGGGTCTGCGGGTTTCGTGGTGATTCGGGACGCTGGCGCCGGAAGCGTTTGAAACCTCCAAAGCCTGGTCACATGTGTAGGATCTTGACGGTGCCAACATCTGATCAAGGTTCGGCCCGCGTGCCTCACAGCTGCTACTTCTCGCTTCACGTATCGCAGTCGCAGGCTATTACTCTCTCTAAGTCTCTAAGAAGCGCTGCAGCGTGTGTTCGGCCATTCAGGCTGGCGCATCGCTCGTTGGGAGACACTGAGAGAAACATCTATGCAGTCCCAGGTCCCGGACACTCTTGTTGGGTTTAGGACGTGGAACGCTAGTCTGGGTGTTGCAACTTAAGTCCTCAGGTGTTGTTGCTCAGACAACTCGAGGTCCTGAGTCGCGTCGCTTTGCTTTGGGTCCTGGGTTCCTTCTGCTGGGGCCTCCAAATCCGATCAGCCATCTGAGCGTTCAGGCTGTGTTTCGGCCGAAGCTGGGACGCACAGGGGCCTACACGGTGCGGAGCATCCACGCATGCAGTCGCGCGCTGCAGGCCTTTGCGGAGGCGCTCAAGAACAACCGCTCCCTGACCAAGCTCGACCTCAGCGAGAACCGTTTCGGCGTTGACGGAGTGCAGGCCCGGCATTTCCGTGCGTAGGCGACTTCGACTCCAGGGACATCAGGCGTCAGGGGGGTATTGCAGGAGTAGGCTGCATTTCGCGGGCTCTGGGTTGTGTTATTCATGCTGGCAGGGTACACGTGAGTTCGTGGCATCATGAGTCATGAGAGCTTGTAAAGCTGTGACTTGAGGTGTTTATGTATTTCTTTGAGTTCTTGAGGTAGATCGTGAGATCAGCTCCGCACTCGGGTGTGCCGGCAGGCGCTTACAGAGGCCCTGACGGTGAACTCCGTGCTGGCAGAGCTTGAGCTGACCGATTGCGACATCGGTGCGGACGGCGCGAAGGCCCGGCCTGCATGCCTTCGGCAATCGAACTCACAGCTGTCGGCTGCTACTCCAAGAGGCGCTCCAGCTTTTGCTCGGCCATTCAATGGCCTGTTAGAAGAATCCGTGTTTTTGTTTGGCGGATTTCGTAGAGAAGATGGACGCCGGAGGGTTCCGTCCTCCAGAGTGACATCTATTGCGGTCGTAGGATCGTAGAAGTCCTTGACGCTAATTCCTTTCATTTTGTTTCCTTGTGTTCTGAAGATAGCGTGGAGATACGAGAGTGACGAGAGACCCTACTGCTTGGGGGAAGGGTGGCGGGTGGGTGGAGTGAACTGGATTTCAAGTTTCTTGTGCTCTCCCCAGAATGGCGTCGAGGGTGGCCCCAGCATGCTCGCGCGCAAATGTGAGGCGGCCCATTCCCCTTTCTCATTGCTGTGATGGGGGGGGTTGGGGTCTCGTGGTTGTATTCAGGGCGCTGGTGCCGGATTGGAAAACTCCAGGCCTTCGCCTCGAGCCCGAAGCTTGGCCACAGCCTGTTTAGGAACGGTGCCAACGTGGGTCAAGGCCCAACCTGCATGCCTTCGGCAATCCCCAGTCGTGGGCAAATCGCCTCAATCACGGTCACCGCTGTAGTTTTGATAGATATTGAGGCACTGGCCATATTGGCCTGTTGCAAGAAACTGCGCCCATTAGCAGATCGCGCATGGGGAGAGACTGAGAGAAACAGTCCCTTTTCAGGTGCTGGGTTGAGTCGCTTTGGGTCCTTGCTTCCTTATGCTGGGGCCTCCAAATCCGATCAGCCATCTGAGCGTTCAGGCTGTGTTTCGGCCGAAGCTGGGACGCACAGGGGCCTACACGGTGCGGAGCATCCACGCATGCAGTCGCGCGCTGCAGGCTTTTGAGGAGGCGCTCAAGCACAACCGCTCCCTGACCAAGCTCGACCTTAGCGATAACCGTTTCGGCGTTGACCAGGCCCGGCATTTCCATGCGTAGGCGACTTCGACTCCAGGGACGTCAGGCGTCAGGGGGGTATTGCAGGAGTAGGCTGCATTTCGCGGGCTCTGAGTTTTGCTGTTCACGCTGGCAAGCTGCACGTGACTTCATGGCATCATGAACCATGTTCAGCGGGTCCAGTCCGAACTTGTATAGCGGTGACTTGAGTTGTTTACATACTTCTGAGTTTCCTTTGAGGAGCCACAGCGTACTGTTTAGGAACGGTGCCAAACAAGGGTCAAGGCCCGGCCCGCATGCCAATATATTGAGGCGCTGCAGCGTGCGTTGGGCCATAGAGGCCTGTTACAAGACACCGCGCCGATTGGCGGATCGCGCATGGGGAGACACTGCGAGAAACATCTCTGTACAGTCCCAGATCCTTGGCACTCCTTTTGGCTTTAGGATGTGGAAGGCGAGTTTGGGTGGCCTGAGCTGGCGATAAGGGATTGTGATTAAGCCTTGGGCGTGGTGCGCATGCATACAGCTGCGCAGTCTGTAGCCAGGGCTTCATAATGAGCGAAGCATGCAGGCTATGCAGAGAATCGAACGCGCCCTCGAGGAGAACCGCCAGGACCGGCTGGAAAAATCGCAGGTTTTAGATGCTTTGACGGCTTTGAACCACGCAGTCGTTGTTGCATGTTGTCTGCTCCACGAACAGTACCTCTCACATCAGCATGGCCTGCAGTTGGCAGTTCCCTTAAACCTTGCCCACTGGCATGTGAACTCAGGACAAAGTCAAGGTCAGCATGCTCTCAGGAAGAGAGTTTTCCTTGAAGCTCGTACCAGACCTGACAGCTCACGATGTCAAGCTCCAGCTTGCCGCGGAAGTTGGCATTCCTGCTCGGTCTCTGAAGTTATTGCTGGGCGAGACGGAGCTCAACAGCACGATGACTCTCGAAGCTGCGGGCGTTCGCAAAGATTGCATTCTCCACCTGGTGGTCGAGCAGGGTGCCTCGCTCCTGTCGCATCTTGCTCCATCCAACCATCCACAGGCATCCAAGCACAGTACCGCGTAAATGAAGTCAAGCAACCCAATGCCCTTGTGATATCTCCTAAACCCTAACCCAAACCCCAAACCCTATACCCTAAATTCGGTACTACTTGCAGCCCCAGGTCAGAGCAGCGAACATGTAAACATCCTCGACGCTAGAGCGCGCTCAGTGAGCATTGTTGAAGGCAGCCTCCAGGACCCTGGGCCCAAGAACCAACACATTGGCCCCAATCCCCAAACCACAAACCCGAGTAACCCCCAGTAAACAAAACTCCCTAAAGCCCTAACTGGGTTGTGCTTTGGGATACTTAATTTCCCTTCTTTCCTTATAAAGGGAACCTATTCATAAAGAAATGTTCAAAGAGTTCGAAGGCACAACTCAGCTACACTTCCCGTCATGGCAGGCGCATCAGATCTGCATCAAGGACTGCAGGTTCGAAGCGGCCAAAGCCAAGGCCTAGAGCAGAGGGCAGCGGCAAAGAAATGGCTCTTGGAAGCTTTCGGGTTTGGGGTTTCCCCCTAAACCCTACACTCCAAACCCTAAACCCTAAACCCTACACCCTACACCCCTAAATGCCGGGGTAGTTCGGGGTTTAAGGTTTGTAAGGGGTTGATGGGGCTTAGGGCTCATGCTCCTTCTCTCCTAGCCTCGCTCCTCAGCCACTTAGAGCGATAGTGCAGAGCTGCACTTTACGCCGTGTTGTAGCTTCGTTTCACAGTGCACGGCTACCAGTGCTTTAAGTGAATCTCTGTGCTTGCTACAGGAAGTCGCCGAAGAGCTGGCAGCAAACTCCACAGAGCTGACAAGCTTGGACTTCACTGACTGCGATCTAGAATACCAGGCCTACCATGCTTGGACTAACATCCGCAATGGCCTTCTCGCAAAGTGCCAGCACAGTTTAGCACAGTTTAGATACCCTCACCCCTGGCATTCCAAGCCTTTAGATCATCGAATGAGCGTGCGATCCTGCAACACCGGTCGACCCATGGCGCCTTTCAGAAAGGTATCTCGTAGTCTAGAGCATCAACTACAATTGCGCGCGCGATCGCATCCACGATCCCATCCACGATCCCCGCCAAAATCAGCAACATCGCTGTCATGTTGCATGATCTGCAATATGACCCTTGCCTAAATCACCACTGTGACCGCTGCCAAAATACATTCTGTGCTTGCCACCACCACAACCATGTGATGACGTGTCATTTGCGAAAGTAAACCTCACAGCTGCTTTCTTTGGTCGCTGGACAGATCACGGCTTTCTTCGCGGTCTCAGATGGGCTGGCTGCGAATGATGTCGTCAGCCACATCAGTTTGACCAGATGCAAGATTGGCAGCGGCGCATTGCAGGCCTGGCACGAGACTCACGGGCCTTTCTAGTCGTCTGTCGCCATGGTGCAGATCCTCGATAGTTGGAGCCGACTCGTGTATCTTGAAACAGTTTTAGGGAGAGTTTGTCACTCACCCCTTCCTCCACATTGAGCATCCTGCAGTGACCTTTCCTCGTCTCGTCACGGGCTTGTGGCCGCCGCAGATGCTGTCCGAAATGCTGAAGCAGAGCACATCCGTGAACACTGTGGACATGTGCGGCTGCAAGGTCGGTGTTGAGGGAGCGCAGGCCTGCCGAGCAGTTGGGGGGGGGGGGGGGGGGGCGAGGCTTGTTTTCGTCGCTGGACTGTCTGGCATTTGTGTCAGGCCCCAGGCAGTGTCATGCCTGCATGGATTAGATGGTTCGATCTTTTGGCGAGCCGTGCATCATGTCGTGCATCCGGGCTGCTCCGCGAATCGCGGGCGGAAGTGCTACTCAGCGTATACGTGCTTGAGCATGTTGTTGGATGCATGGTGCGGGGTTGTTGCGCGGTGCATGCTGCTGTGCAGGTACTCCGGGAGATGCTCATGGCCAACTCCAGCATCATTGCGCTCAACATCCAGGATGAAGATGCAAGCAAGGAAACACAGGAGGCCTGGGCACCTGTGATTCATTCCCAGACCCGCCTCTAAATCCTACAAGTGTGGCGCTTGCCACAGGCAGCTACAGGCATTCCCTTCACTGGGCTTCATGGCTGTTACGGCTCTTACCACCTCCTCCTGTCTCCTGCCCTACCTAAATCCCCAAATCGTGCTGAAAATTACTAGCCAAATCCTCCCGAAGCCCCTGAACCTTGGAACGGCCCCCCATAACCTCCAGAAGGTCTTGGAAGACATTGAACGGCTTCTTCGCGAGCGCCAGGAGCTCCGCAAGGCCAGTCCAGGGCTTTTGGGCCTGTTGTCGTATCCTTGATTTGTGGAGGGTATCGGGGTTAAGCATGACGATAAACACCGAAATATCTATATACATCTATATCTATCTATATCTGATCTGTATTTCTTGATGTTGGGTTAGTTTTTAGGGTTGGAACAGAAAACAGCAGGAATGCACTTTACTAGAGACTCAAAGAAAGGGACCCTATCTTAGATCAATCCCGCAAGTGGGGGGGAGGGGGTGCTGGGTAATTCAAGGGCATGCGACCGGGTCGTTAGATCCCCTAAACCCTACATGCCCTGAACCCCTAAACTCTCCAGTCATGACTCTCCAACCTGTCTGCTACCTAAACCCTAAACCCTGAACTCTGCATGATAACAACGAAGAGCCAATACACGGAGATGTGTCCCCTCGAGCTGTAAACTCCCAATCCATCTAAACTACTGGTCCTTCGTAGGGAATGGGGAGACGAGGTCCCCTTTTTTTACTCCCTGCAAGGGCAGGCGACCTAATTTCCTCATTCCCGCTAAGAACCAGTAGGAACATCCCAGGCGTGAAATACACCTGCGTTCACCTGCCCAAGACCCGAAAACCCATCTTTTTGTAAAGTCGCGAGTCCCCCTTCTCAAAGCCCTCAGTGGGACCAAACCCCCAAACCCCAAGCCCTAAGCCCTAAGCCCTAAGCCCTAAGCCCTAAGCCCTAAGCCCTAAGCCCTAAGCCCTAAGCCCTAAGCCCTAAGCCCTAAGCCCAAACCCCAAACCCCAAACCCCAAACCCCAAACCCCAAACCCCAAACCCCAAACCCCAAACCCCAAACCCCAAACCCCAAACCGCAAACCCCAAACCCCAAACCCCAAACCCCAAACCCCAAACCCTAAACCCTAAACAGGACCGGGAAGCCTTCAGCCAGGACCGGTGTTGGTACTACAAAGATCCCACGGGCAAGACCCAGGTGGGGCGCGGCAGACCCGGGAATGACTTTAGGGGTTTAGGGGTTTTGGGTTTTCGGGTTTAGGGGTTTAGGGGTTTAGAGTTTGGGGGTTCAGGGTTTAGGGTTTAGACTTGTGGGGCTTACGGCGGATGAAGGGGTCGAGGGTTGAGGCTTAGGATTCGAACTTTCTAGGGTTCTAGGGTTCTATAAGATTTTCGAGTCTTCTGGGGTTCTAGAGGTTTTAGAGGGTTTGTAGGGTTTCGAGCGCGAGAGGGCCAACAAAAGCTCGCAGTAAACCTCAAACCCTGAACCCTGAACCCTAAACCCTAAACCCTAAACCCTACAGTCCCTACAGTCGCCCCAACCACGCAGGGACCTTTCCAGACCTTGCAGATGGAGTACTGGGCCCAGGCTTGGACCTGAGTCAGGGGGTGTAGGGTTTAGCGAAAAGGGTTTTGGGTTTTGGTTTTTGGGTTTATTGGGTTATAGTGTTTATAGGGTGAATAGGATTTTAGGGTTTTTATAGGGTTTATATTTTTTCAATAGTGTTTCCAGGGTCTTTTCTAGGTTGTTAGGGCTTTACGGTTTATAGGGCTTTTACCGGTTTATAGGGTTTATAGGGTTAGGGTTTATAGGGTTAGGGTTTATAGGGTTTAGAGGGTTTACAGGGTTTCGGCTTCAGGAATAAAAAATGAAGCATGACGATAACCAATATAGCTGCACATCTTAGGTTTCGATATGGGGGAGTATAGGGGAAGCCTTCCGTCAGTTTTGACAGCTGAGCCGCTCGGTCTGACCTTTATTTGCCTGCCTGCATGTCTGTCTTGTGTCTGTAGAAATGTAAGTCATGTTGTTTTGCATTATATGTATGTGCACATATATATATATGCTACCTATTCAGAATGACATCGGCGCATATATGAATTCACACACGTCATATTGGTATCTATGTGTGGTATTTATGCACCTTCTTCTCTGTTCATGTACGTATGAAACATGTTCGCAGATGTGCCCTGCAGCTCAGCTTTTGAAAAGTCGCGCTGCTGGGGCCTACTTGGAGGTTCAGGGTACTTATAACCCAGTTGTAAGTGCAGTGATAGCCACTTATAAGCCCCTTAAATACCCTAGGGTTACAAATGAGTTAGAAATACAGTTGCAATTGGGTTACTAAGTACCATGAACATCCAAGTAGGGCCTACAGTGCGTGAAAGGTTGTATTGGAACTGTGGACTGCCTAGGCCGCACAGAAACGGCCTTTTCTTCATGTGGTTTAGGGTTTAGGGTTCAGCGATGAGGGTTTGGGGTCCAAGGAAGGGTATGTCTAGATTATGGGCCCTGTGTGCTTCAAAGGAGACCCCTAAGGTTGCACCCTCTTTAGTGTGGGGGGGCCCCCCCCCCCTCCCCCCTGAACAGTCGCGGCTGGATTTTGCCCTCTATAATGGCCCATATGATTTTAATAGGGAGGAGTTTAGATCGATTTAAAAGGGATCCATATGAATTTAAAAGGGATGAGCTTATATGAATTTAAAAGGGAGCCGCGCGAATCGAAAAGGGGTCCGGGATGAGTTTATATGAATTCAAAAGGGATCCAGAGGCTTTTTCCAAATTCGGAGCCTCCAGGCCGGGGCCTGGACATTAAAGCGGGTCCCGAATCAGTCCCATTATTGCGGGTCGGAGGGGGCCCCTGGACCACCCTCTTGTCGGATTGAACGAAACCATTTTTTTAAATGGTTTCTTAAAGGGAATTAATGGTTTCGGGCCGGTCGGAATGGATGAGGTCGGCCTTTAAAATCACAAGGTCCGGCTTTAAAATCATATGGCCCGGCTTTAAGCCGGAGCCTCCGGGCCGAAACAAGCCCCAAACCCTTAAAACAAATTCCGGATTTCGGGGGCGGTTTGTCTTTATAGCGGGAGTCCCAAACAGTCAGCATGTCCTGAATAATTTGGCCAAATTGTCTTTATAGCGGAGGCCGATACTAAACCGGGTGCAACATTACTGCAGGCCTGGCCTGGCACACTGCCGGCCTAAGCGTCTGTCTAGTACATCTGTAAAACAAACCATTTGCCATTTCTTTGCTAGTGTAGGCCCTGATTCCCTGTTTTGTGGGGTTTAGGTTCCCCTATCAGACCCCGTAAACCAAACAAGGGTACCCTTCTTATTCCTGGGTTACTCCTGGACTTACTACTGTTTCTGTGCCTGACTATGAGCACACATTGTCACTGAGGCTGGATACTTCACGCCGGACCTGCCTATCAGGCCGGCAGCCGAGTTTGTTTTTTGTCTTCTCGGTTGGGAGGGAAGGGGGTAGGGGTTAGGGTTGGGGTTTGGGGTTGGAGGTTTAGGGTTTTGGGGTTTTGGGGTTTTGGGGTTTTGGGGTTCTGGGGTTCTGGGGTTGTGGGGTTCTGGGGTTCTGGAGTGTTGGGGTTTTGGAAGCCGCGTCGTTGCAAAGAGGAAGTGAACTCAGCTGCGCTGCGCGACTGCCTCTGTATGCGTCATTCGGAAAAGCAGACATGCTTGAGGATCTTCGTAGCTGAATGAGTACACTTTACACTTTTTCGGCTACTATGATCCCCTATAGAAATGAAAGTGTACACTTTTTTGGGGCTTATGAACTCAGCAACGAAAGGATAGTGCGGTTGTGTGCCTTGAGCTTCGTTCTCCAGACTTCCGAACCCCGTCGCCCCCTTAAGGAGGAACCCGGGGGAATGAAGTAAAGGATCTGTATGGCACCAGAAATTACACCTCTTGCTAAGCGCCCCTCTGAACCGAGATCCCTAAACACTCGCCATGAACAATGCTAGGGTTTAGGGTTTAGGGTTTAGGGTTTAGGGTTTAGGGTTGAGGGTTGAGGGTTGAGGGTTGAGGGTTGAGGGTTGAGGGTTGAGGGTTGAGGGTTGAGGGTTGAGGGTTTGGGGTTTGGGGTTTGGGGTTTGGGGTTTGGGGTTTAGAATGTAGGGTTTAGGGTTGAGGGTTTAAATTCACAATGCTATAGATTTGTAGGGTTCAGGGCTTCGGATCTTTTCTGTAGCTTGGAGCTTGGGGGGGGGGGGGGTCACATTGATCGTGACTAGCGCCCTGAGACCTACATCCTAAACAAGTCGGCATGGAAAAGATGCAGTAGCGAGTCATGTCTACTGGCCTTCAACTCTAAAACCTAAACCCTAAACCTTACAATCCCATAGTCGAGGTTCCGCAACAGCGATTTTCAGTCCCTGGAGATCTGGTATCCGCCACCGACGGACGCTGATCTACATGTTGAATTCCTGTAGCCCTATAAACCTACTGTGGGTTTCGGGTTTGGGGGTTGGGGTGTAGGCTTTAGAAGGAGTTCCTAAGGCTGCAGGTTTTGGCTTCAGATTGTTTTTTCTCACTAAGGACTGACGATGCATCTTGATGGTGTGTGGGGGTCACAGTAGCTACAGACTGCAGTGCGGGGTTTATGGTTTAGTGGTTTAAGGCAGGTAGGGTTTAGGCCAGGGTTTAGGGTTGAGGGCTTCGGGAGGCTGGTGTCTTTTCTGCGTGTAGGGTGGTGTTGTTTAGGGTCTACGTTAGGGTTAGGGTTAGGGCGGTTTGATAGGACTCTACGTCACTCTATGTTTACAGCTGGGTTTAGGGGGGTGATTAGGGTTGTAAGACTGGCAGTCCCAAAGCCCTAAACCTCCTAACCCTTAAACCCTCAAACCCTCGCCCCTACCCTGAAACCCTTGCTTCACATAAGTTTTTATTTTCATTTTGTGTATTATGTTTTGGGGGGGTTGGGGGGGGGGACGGGGGAAACCAGAAGCCCACCCCCAAAATGATAGCACCCTCTTGGCACTTATAAGGCTCAATGAGGCGCTATTGAACACGAGTTTTGCTTGTGAACCTGAACCTTAAACCCTAAGCCCTAAACCCTAAGCCCTGACACCTTTCTGCTGCGGAACTTTCACCCCTCGCCTAGGAGGCCTTCTCCACACTCCCGGTCATGGCTGGGGGAACCAAGGAGTCCGGCTTCGGTCTTTGTTTAGGGGTTTAGGGGTTTAGGGATTTAGGGGCTTCGGGGTTTAGGGGTTAGGGCAATGAAGAATTAAAGAGGCTTAGGGTTTCGGATTATAGAGTTAGGGTTTTTGGGTCCTGAGTCGGGTTGGGTTTAGGGTTCAGGGGCTTGGGGCTAGAGTTTAGGGTTGAGGGTTTTCGAGGTGAGAGTGTGGGGTTGAGGGTTTGGGGTTTAGGATTATAGAGGTTTAGGGTTTAGGGTTTGGGGGTCATAGAGGTTCAGGGCTTGACAGTGCCCCTTTGTTGCCATTCGGATCTCCTGATCTGTGGTCGTGCCAGTCCGTCTCCATGTTCCGTTTTCGGCTTGCACGAACCTCGGAAGAACGAACACATCGCCCCGAACTTTGCAAGTCCCTGAAAGTTTCAGGCTTCGTGAGGTATACCAGACCCTTGAGAACTGTATACATGAGTGATAGTTCCTGACCCAGTTCCATGCTGTTGGTACTTTTATCGATTTGCAAGGTTCGAGCGAAATCTGTCATGTTCCTTGCTTCATTCAGCAGAGGCAGATTGTCCAGAACTCTGCCCACTGACAGATCGAGCCATGCCTCACAAAAGTACTTGTCAACACTACACCCTAAACAGCAGCAGAATCTCGGGTTGGCAAGTTGAGGTGCTTCAATGATCTTAGATGCTGGAGCTTAAGGCTCGACATCAGCCAAGTGCGCCCCGCTAGTTCCGAGAACCGAAAGAAACGCTGGAAAGGGTTTAGGGTGTAGAAGAACATGAAATGCTCCAGTCCCGCATCCACGACGGAGGAGCTGACATCGACGACCCCACGGCAGCCGGAAGCCACTCTGTCGCAGTAGGGATTTTTTGGCAACTTGGGCATCGCAAGGCGCGTTTGGTTGGGGGGTTTGCGAAGTAGGGTGGCCTGGCCGCTTGTGCCCGCGTCTCGATCCTGCCCTAATTAAAGCAGACGAAGCAGGGAATTCCTTTTACCATGGGCCACGTTTTCCAGTACGCGGCCCGGCCGTGGATGGAGAGCCACAACTCACAACAGTGAGCCAATCAGCAGTTCTTCGTAGGGATTTCCGGAATGAGGTACCCGATATGATCCCGAAACCCTAAACCCTAAACCCTAAAAGGGGATATAAGGTACCTAGTTCCCTAAGGGAAGCCTGCCGTCCAGCGCCCTGGAAGTTCAACTCGGGACCTCGGCAGTTGAAGGTGCGGCTTGTGGTTTTGAGGGTCTTAGACTCAGGAGTTTAGGGTTTTAGGGTTTAGGATGGTGGTCCCCAGGCATGTCAGTCTTCAGACAGTGGTGGCCCCCAAAGAAGTCCACGCCACAAAATTTTGACAACCCTGGCATGCTGACGTCTCAGCAACCCCGCCGAAATGCCCTCGGAGAGCAGGTGCGTACCCATCGTTGCCATCATCTGCAGCTCCTGCGGCGGCAAGGCGGCCCAATCCCAATCTGCATCAACCCCTCGTCACCGGACCCTACGCAAGTCACACAAGCATATTGTCGTTTGAGGCAGAGGATTGCCCTCTTTAGCACAGTTTCTTATCCACTGAGAGGCCGGAGACCTGCAGCACCAGTGTGTCCTACGATGACACAAGCGGCTTGGTCGTCGAGCTGGGGTCCGATGATGTGGCCCAGATTCAGAATGGCATCCTAGTAGTGGCAAAGCGGGGTGAGCCGGTGTGGTTTGAGATCCTATCGTCAGACTCACTGCCGCAGCTGCCCGAGAACGTAGTGCCTCTCAGCCCCATTCTGAACATGCAGCCGGACGGGGCAAGCTTTGAGGATGCCCCTGTCCTCGTGGTCCTCCGCACCTGTGTCGGCACCAACAAGGCCTGGAGATCGGTGCCGCCTTGCGGCTGGGAGCCGATATCGGATGTCGAGTTCCATCCCGGTCACGCGGTGCTCCGCTTGACTCACTTCTGCTCTGTCTTCTGCGGGGAAGATGCTCCCAACTCCGAGCCGGCCAAACCCAAGCTGCTGAAAGTACTGGGCTTCCTCAATATGGAGACAAGGAGAGCCAAGTGTGCGGTGTTACATGCGAACTGTCAAGCCTGCGAAGAGGACTTGGCAGATTGTCGGGAGGACCCTGACCTTCTGCAAAGCTTTGAGAGGTGTGACCCAAGTCACGTTGCTGGGAGGGAGAGCATCAGTTCGACCTTGACGATATCGCAGGAGCACGACGCGGAGACAATTCCATTGGTTTTCCTTCCAAGCATTACAAAGGCTTTTGCAGCAAATGGGACGCACTTCGAGGTGAACATTGCACAAGCACGCCGCACATTTAGCGGCTTGGATGAGACTGGGAATTCTAGGGACCCCAGAGGCTGCCCTAGCACAAAGAGGGTCAGATACTGAACCCTAAACCCTAAACCCTACACCCCACACCCAGGCTTTCAAGCACCTTCTCGGCCACCGCCACCAGGGTGGTCCTCGGTGCAATGGATTTCAGTATGTTTTCTTACTTAGCCAACAGTTGAACTTTAGACTTTTTGGGTTTCCTATTGTTAGTAGGAACGAAAAAGTTAACCTTTTTCCCTTGGCTATAGGAGAAGTAAGTTTTGGACCTTGCTTTAGCTGCCCGCGAGTTCACTGCTAGCTTGCAATACTAGGTCTAAGACCCTAGACCTAGTTCTCGAACCCTAAATCAATCTCATGGGATGTCTGTCCCGAAACTCTGGACCCAGGATTTTGGTGCTAGGGTTTATAGGGTTTAGAGAGTTTAGTGTTTAGGGCTATTCATTGCGTCTAGGGTTTCGGGTGTAAGGTTTGGGGGGGGGGGGGGGGGGGGGGGGGTTATATGCGTATGTAGGGTTCTAGGGTTTTTGTACAAGAGCCCATAGACCCTACACACCCTATGAACCCTACAAACCCAGAAAGCCAATGAACCCACAAAACCCCTGTAAACCTCATACACCCTATGACGCTGCAACCTCTGTGAAAGCTATAAGGTGTATATGCTAAACTCCCCAAAGCCCTAAACCCCATAAACCCTGTAAACCCTGTAACCCTAAACCCTAAACACCAAACCCTAAACCCTACCCAAAGTATAAACCCCGTAAACCCTGTAACCCTCAAGCTCCTCAAGCCCATGCCTTGCCAGCTCAGGCACCTGCAGTTTCCCTCCGGAAGCAGCCGGGCGGTCGGGAGCTCGAGTTCACATATAGCAGCTTAGGGTTAGGGTTTAGGGTCCAGGGTTTAGGGCTGAGGGTTTATAGGGCTTAGGGTTTAGGATTTAGGGCTGCAGAATCGCATGCGCATAGAGTGGACTTTTGTTTTGATTTGGACCTCAAAGTCGTAGGCCGGCCCAGATGCGTAGCCAAGGCAGATCTACGCAAACCCAACTTAAACGAGCAATGGAGCGCAGCTTCTCTTGCCTGTACATTATTATATATATATATATATATATAGATATTTCTCCATATATATATATACACTCACCCAAGTTCTGGTTTGCCCTCCGGAACTTGCCTGTTCAACACCAGTCATGTTGCAGGACGCCTTCACTGTGGCACGTGTGCTCTGAATCCATGATGGGATCCACGGCGTAACATAAGCTGCCATATGAGGAAACCATGTCAGTTGTTTCTTTACTATTCTCATAGCTACAACATGTACGTTATCCATACACATATATATATACACACACACCTAGATTATGGTTTGCTCTCCGCTGAAACCCATGGAAGGTGCACAGGGTGCTGCCGAGCGCAGGGCAGCCTCTGGGTGAAAGCACTCAGCTAGACACAGGAGCCGCCGTGGTGGATTGTTCAGAGATTTCTATGATGATTGAAGCGTGTAAAATGCCTTCAGAGAACTTTATGACGGTTCTCGAAAGGGCAACAGTTTGAAGAACAGTATAAGAGCCTTGTTGCGGGGTGTAACAGCCTTAAGGGGCGGTCAAGAAGGCGTCCAATGGGGCTTGAGAGGTGTCAGAGAGGCTTCGTCGGCGTTTATGAGGGTGCTCGAAAGAGGAGTCATATGGAGTCATGCTTGGCAGGCACAAGGCCGAGGACACTGATCCCCATGTGCAACTCCGACCTACTACTGTTATGGCTGCTGGCCACTAGTAGTAGTGCCTTTGAGTGTTGTGTTACGGCCGGCCCCCGTACTGCGGCGGCCCCTGACCGCATGTATATGTACAGATGACACTGCCATTCTGCCTGGCATTCCGTTCAGCTCAATGCTTCATCATGCCTCCTCACAGCTGCAACGTGTCCCCCCTTGGCATTTTCCGACTCGTATTCTGATCCTTGTGACTAAGCCCCCCCCCCCCACCCCCAACTCTTGGTACAACCGCCCAAGACCTCTCAACAAGGGCAAAGTCTGGTTTCCCCCGTATCTGTAGTTGAATTTTGTACACACAGAAAAAGCTAGAGCTCTTCCAAATTCCACAAGCCGTCCATGTTTATCAGCCGGCTGGAAATGAGATTTCGCTCCGGATTGTGGCGCGATCGGTCGCAGGACAACTGAGCACCACTGAGCTGGACAGTCGGCAGTTTCAGCGGACAGCCGCTGGGTGCGACTCAGGGCTGGGGGCGGGGTTAGGGTTCAGGGTTTAGGGTTTACGGTTAGGGTTTAGGGTTAAGGTTTAGGGCTAAGGTTTAGTGTTTAGGGTTTAGGAGGGCCTTTTATCCAGTGAGGATTGGACCTTCGGGCCCCCAAAGCAGTGCAGAGTGGAGAACCCGGAAAAACAAAACCTTTTCTTCCTGTGGTTATTGATCAGATGCCTCTCAGCACGTACATTTTTGCTTGTGTGTTTTTGATGGCGCTACAGTGCTTTCTCTCAAAGGGGCGCGTGCGCGTGTGTGTGTGTGTGTGTGTGGGGTAAGTTCATAGCAACCTGCATTGCGACATATGCTCTGTACCGACGTGGCAGGTTTCGACTTACTGAACGTTCGGTGGAGTGGTGTGCTTCAGCACCGCGAGCGAGCTCAACACTGACAATGATAGGGTGTCATAGTGGGAAAACAGCTAGTTGCCCAGCAAACTATGTAGGAAATAGAGATAGTCCTATTCACATATGTGCATACCGATAAGTATGGAGGTAGTAGAGGCCTTCGCTCAACAACTATCGATTTAACAGAGATCTAACACATCCAAGGGAGTTGAAGCAAATATAAAGACCCAAAAAGAACGAAAAACAAACCTACAGAAAACCTCGCCCAGTTGAACGCCTGTGCAGCACTCGATCTCTTTAGGCGCAGAACTATCCACAGCGTGTCGTCCAGGTTGCCGTGGCCTTACACTGGCACATGTCCCCCTGAACATCAAGCCCTAAACCTGTAAACCTGAGTCCTAAGCCCAATTTAACTCTGCAGGCGGTAGCTTTACATAGATGCGGCTGTAAAGTCTACGTGCTGTCTGCTGTGTTCGCGCCCACTAGCGTGATGGAGCCTGAAGCCCTGCACCCCCCAACAATCAGCCATTAATCCCCGTCCTTCGTAGGAACATGCAGAACATGACCTCCTGATGCTGTCAACCCTGAGTTTCAGCATGATTCAAGAAGTTAACGAGCAACCCTACATTGATGCAGCTGAGGGCTTGCTTGTACCTGAAGCATAAGTCGACACGAGGACCAAGGCTTCATTCGATCGCCATTCCTCTTCCGCCAAAAATCCTCCAACCATCAAGCATTGGGCCCTCAAGCCTGACCCGTGCAGTTGAACCTTTGAACTAGCCCCGAGCACTTTGTCTGTCTTCCGCTTCCACTCTCGACAGTGCCCCTATACTTGTAGCCATACTCCTAATCCTAAACCCTATAGCCTAAACCCTCAAACCTAATCTCAGCAACCCTAAGCTTGCCTCGCTTGGCTGTACTTCCCCCATCAAACGACCGAAATGATGTTGAATGTGTTGACCTGAAAGCTGAGTTTAATTTGCATCTCGCACCCATTCCTCTTTTTCCAGGGAAAGTATGAACCAAAAGAGTCTTGCAGTGGAAAATGGTTTTGTGATGGGTTGGAGAAAGTGAAAACCGGTGCCACGTGCCAGAACTTGCTTTTTTATTCTGAACCGTTCTTTGGTCAGCAGAAAGCCAAGTTGTGCACCTTCCTTTCTACCTCAAAAGGGCACAGCTACCTCCTTCCGACACCCATGAGGAGTCGCTCGCAGGAGGCTACAACTGAGGTTACCCAAAACCCTTATCCTGAGTCGCTGCTGAACAGTCAGTTTTCGAGCTTAGGTTCAGAACTGCATGCTTCAGGTAAGCTACTACCCTGCTCCACCGCCTTCACGACACCAGGCAAGGCATCCTGAGTCGCTGCTGAACAGTTACTTTTCGAACTTGGGTTCAGAGCTGCATGCGCCAGGTAAGCTACTACCATGCTCCACAGCCTTCACGACAGGCCTAGGGTTTAGGGTTTAGGGTTTAGGGTTGAGGGTTGTGGGTTGTGGGTTGAGGGTTGAGGGTTGAGGGTTTAGGGTTTGGAGTTGAGGGGCACCCGCGCGCCCCGGAGCAACAGCAAGAGCAACACCAACCAAGAACTACAAGAACAACACCCACGACGACGACGGCGGCGGCAGCAGCAGCAACAACAGCAGCAAGAGCAACAGCAACAACAAGAACAACAACAAGAACAACAACAAGAACAACAACAAGAACAACAACAAGAACAACAACAAGAACAACAACAATAATCATAGCAACAACAGCAACAAGAGCACAGGAGCCACTGGAGAGGACGGACTGTAGGCTTGAACTGCTCTCTTATCCCCTGTCCCGTCTGCTCCTCACTCCTTCGCGCGCGCGCGCGCGCGCCCGCGCGCGCAAGCCGGCATGATAGCGCGCGCACGCGAGGCGCGGGTTTCGTTCTGCATGTGGCCATGCTTCCCTGGCTGCGTTGTACAAGGCCCTGCCGCGGCCCTCAGCCAGCCCCTCTTCCCGAAACGCCGCTGATGCTCATGATGCTCATCGGGGCCCCCCAAAAGCATCCTTTTTCAGGTCGAAAAAAAGCTCAAAATCATTGGTATGGGCGGCGTTTCCTGCTTTGGAGTGCTTTTGAAGGTGCTCTCGCGTCCCCGCCCCGATCCGGCCCGGTCCGGAAGGGCCCCGGGAGGCCGCGGAGGTCCCATGATGCCCTCCGCGGGTGGGGTCGGCCTGGCGGGCACACAGAGGGGCGTTGCCCGATTCAAGAGCCCCGGCTTGAACTACCCTTCAGTGTCTCGGAGCAGGAAGGTTGGGGGGACGGTAGTGGGTCCGGCAGAGCGGGCGGCTTTTACGGGTTGTGCCAGAACAAGGTTTGGGGGGGTTTCGGGTAAAGCCCCAGATGCCCACCCAGCTCCCATGGTCCTTGAAGTCGCACGGTGCGGGCTGCGGGGGCCTCCACGGAAAAGCTGCCGGGGTACCCGTGTTTTGGGGGTGGGAGGTTGGACCTCGCGGACTACACTGAGATTTGGGTTCAGAGTACCCTGAACCTCCAAACGCTGGTGTAGAACTCTGAAAGAGTTGAACCGTGGCCGAGCGATTGATGTCCTTGCTGTTCTACGGATGTGGGTAATTCTCTAAGTTAGGGTCCCTTTTGCTGATTTTAAGGGTGCCGTACTACAAAGGGACCCAAAAAGGGACCTAATTTAGAAAACTGCCCATGTGCTAGTCTGTGCTCGTAGTTAGTTCCGTGCCAGCGGGTTACTGTCGCAAGTCCACAACCCATGTGAGTTGCAGCGGTGGTTTCCGGTACGGGTGGTGGAAGAGGTAGAGATTGAAAGCTACTGGGGAACCATAACAGCGGTCAGTTGTTGCTAACGTTATCATTAGTATTCGTGGTGGTGGTGGTGATGGTACTTCTGGTAGTGGTAGTAGAGGGAAGCGTCGTAGTAGTAGTAGTAGTAGTAGTAGTAGTAGTAGTAGTAGTAGTAGCAGCAGCAGCAGCAGTAGTAGTAGTAGCAGCAGCAGCAGTTGCGCTAGCAGTAGTCGTTTCTAATATTGCTGCGAAGTAGGGGCAGGAGGGGTAGTGGGGGTAGTTAAAGTTTTGCAGTTTCGTGGGCTTGCAAGAGTGAGTAGAAAGGGAGAGAAGAAGTTGCGCAAGCAGCTAGGAAGTCATCGTGTTGAGGGGGCGGGGGGGGGGGCAGCAGCTTCTACGTGGAAAGTTGAGGCGCGGGGATGTGAGGTGTTTATGGCTCCGTACATTGACGTACCCCTGCATCTGCCAGGCGAAGCCAATCGAGCAGAGGACGCACTTGATGTTCTCTGGGCGCTTCAATGATGATGCCAAGCTCACGTACATGAAGTCAGTTCGGGAGTTCCTGGATGCTGAAGGCGTGCCAACATACATGGTCGAGCCAACAGGTGGTGGAGATTCCTTCGGGGACAAGACTGTAGACGGTTTGCATCGCGCGAAGGCTTTGCTGGTGTTTGGCACAGAAGACTATGGAGCCAAGACTGGGGCGCAATATGAAACCTTTCGCGAGCTCGAGTACGCCCATCAGAACGAACTAATGATCATCCCACTGAAGTTGGGCCAAACATATCCACCCCGACCAGACGGTGACACTGGTCCTGGTGGGAGTTGCCAAAAGTAGGATTCCTAAGCCCTGTGTTTTCCGCGCCCTTGCGTGCATGAACCTTTGATCTCGAACATTCCAGCCAAAACCCTGGCAGGCAATACTGGCTGGTTCTTAGTAGGGAATGAGGGAATTCGGGCCGTGCATATACCCTTTAAGGGATTATAGTAGTGGGCCATCTTTCCGTCATTCCGTACTCAGAACCAGGGGGAATGGCAATCTTGGCGCATGATCCAGGTACCATGCAAAATGGATTCGTCCTCAAGCGGGACATTGTCTTCATCGAGGACATTGGCCTGCAGGATCCTCGGAGAGTGGCCGAAAAGGTGAGCAACTTGCCCTGCCAACAGATGAACTTTAATCTTTTCGGGCTTCCCTTACTTCGGTAGGACGAATCAAGAAGGTTCAGCTTTGTCCTTCCTTATCTTGGTAGAATAATACAAGCTTCACTTTTTTTGCATTCCTTGGTTATTGAAGAAGCAAGGCAAGACATGGCGGGCCAAATATGGCCGCCGGGGCTCATGATGGCCAAGTTCGAACCTTGGGCCGCCTTTGGAGGGGCCATCTGGATGGTTGGGAACCTCATGTGCCCTTACATCATCAAGCTGTTTCTAGGCATCGGTTTATGGGCCATCGGGGATATTTTTCTTTTCGATGTCCCTTAGTGTTTTTTGTTAGTGTGGAGCCCTGAAGATAAGTGATTTTGGGGACCTGTTGAAAGCCAAACCTAGGATTGGCATGGGCCTGGGACTCACCGTCTGGGACTTGAGCAACATGATCATGGGCTGCTAGGATGCCCAGGAGGTTTATGGGGTTTGAAAGGGTTTATGGGGTTTATAGGGTTTGTAGGGCTTATGAGGTACGTAGTTTAAAAGGGTTTATAGGGTTTAAAAGGGTTTGTGGGGTTTATAGGGTTTGTAGGGCTTCTAAAAGGGTTTATCGGGTTTGTAGGCCTTATGGGGTACATACGGTTTGAACGGGTTTAGGGTTTACGGGGGCAGGGTTTATCGGGTGTACAGGGTTTATGGGTTTACAGCGATTAGGGGCTCTATAGGGTGTATAGGGTCATTCGAACCGAAAAGAGATACGCCCTGCAATCATTCCTGGTCTTGCCCTTTCTTGCCAGCTGTGTAGAAGTGAGATCTGGCAATCCGGCAGTTTTCGTTTCACCCCCTAGTCCCGAAGTACCCCCCTATTTAGGGTTAGGGGTTTAGGGTTTAAGGTTTAGGGCCACCGCCCTAAACGCAAAACCCTCACGATTGCTCGGATTCACGGCCGTGAGTTCACAAAGAGCATCCAGGGTTGGGTTTAGGGCGGTAGTGAGGGTTTGGACGGTAAGGTTTCGGGTGTTCAGCGCGTTTAAATTTTGGGTTTAGGATATCTGGGGTTTATTTAGGTTGAGAGTTCTGGTGGGTAGGGGTTCTGGGTTCTGGGGTTTGGGCTCTTGCAATTTGCTGGTAAGCATCATGCAGGACACTGACGGAATACAGCTCGAGTATAAACTACACAAAAATACAGATTCTGATTGAATACCCTCTAGATTAGAGACCCGCCAACGGGTAGAATGTAGAGAAAGGGTCAGTTCCCGTATGCAATCTGCTTCCGGGGCCCCGCTGGTTGAGTGCTTTGTTGGCAAATGCTGCCATGCTATGTGTAGGATTCGGTTGAGGCTTTGCAGAAGCTGACGGCTTTACCCATCTTCACCACGCTGAACACTTGAAACTTAGTTCGAGGTCCATAGGCAGCGCTTGCAAGATGAGGCCTAATCTCAGGATCGTTCCGGCTGATTGCCCACTGAGGAAGTACGCGGCAGCATTGAAACGCATCAAACATGCAGCACTTTAGGGTTTAGGGTTAGGTTTTAAGGTTTTAGGGTTTAGGGTTTAGGGTTTTAGGGTTTTAGGGTTCTAGGGGTTTGAAGGTTTTCGGTTTTTAGGGTTTTGAGGTTTTAGGGTTTAGGGTTTTTAGGGTTCTAGGGGTCAGGCTTTGCAAGAACCAGCTCCGATTGGCGCTTCCTTGCGGCTCATTCTTGCCAAGACCTTCGTCAGATTGCACTGTCCACCCCTAAATCGACCTTGCGGTTCCTAGGGTAAGGGGTATATAAGGGTTTCCCCATCAAGGGCCCACACCAAGGGACCACACAACTACCCTAAGACTATGCGAGTCGGCAGGACCCTACCTAAACCCCCAAACCCTAAACCCTAACTACTAACTAAACCCTAAATCCTAAACCCTAGGCCCAGGTCTGTGAGATGTCGCCGCAACTGCCATGCCAGCGTGCTGCTGTCCAGGCGCAGCACCATGTTGCTCAGGCTGAGGGAAGTCCAAGTGATCTTGGGCTTCGGGTTTAGTTCAGGGTTGCGGATTTAGGGTTGCAGGGTCTAGGGTTCAGGGTTGGAGGATTCATATAGCCGTGCAGCATCAAGAGCTTAGAATCCTTGTGTGCTTACACCCAGGACTGACCAGAGCACTCAGACCAACTATAGGCTCCTACATCAGACAATGTAGTTTAGAGTGGCTGAAAGTCCCAGCTTGGGGGTTGATCCGATTGTCGGGAATCACGTCTGCGTCCCATCATGGAAGGCCGAAGACCACCATAAACCCCTGTAAACCCTAACCCCAAAGAGCCCTAAACCCTAGACCCCAAAGCCTTAGGCACCCGAGATTCTGGGGCCTCTAAGGTGTTTATAAGGGTCACGCAGTCCCTGGAACACCTTTGGGGATTCGAAGGGAACCGCAGAGGCATTCCATTTTTGGTTCTTATCAGGTTCTTAAGGGAGGCGGGTAGGTAATGCAAGGTTCCCTAATACTCCTCACTAGTCCCTAAGTCCCTAAGCTTCCCGAAGGTTCCGTAGGTACCGCCCCCTCATGACCCCCCGTCCCTTAAGGACCCTACAAGGTTCGGCGCCGCCTTGAGAATTCTGGGGCCTCTGTGGTAGGGTTTAGGGCTTAAAATAGTTCAAAAGGTTTAGGGTTTTAGAAGGTAGGGTGCAGGGTGTATCGGGTTTACAAGGGTTTACGGGGTTTAGGGTTTCGAAGTAAGGTAAGGTCGTTGCTGTTTCGGGGTTGGGGCTTCGGGCTTGGTAGGTTGGCGATAAGGGATAAGAAGTCGGATAGGTCAAGAGTAAGCAAACTACCTGTACCTTAATCATTGGCCCATGCCCCTTCTCTCAAGCAGATACGGGTGAGTCTGGGATAGGATGGTAGCGAGGGCGGTGGCATGCTGCAGGCGCCCTCGAGCTTCAGCTGGAAGCCTTTAGCAGGGGCCACAGGTTGCATGGCAAGGGAAACCCGTGCTTGCTCGGCATGCGTTGTGTTGCACACTTCCGCTGCGAAGCGTAGCTCAGAGGCTTAAGGCTGTGGCGTAGGGGTCTGGTTGGCCCCTCATGACTGCCAGCTTCTCACATCGGGAAGCAGGCAATGCTTTCTTCAAGGAAGGAGACTACGCGTCCGCCAAGAGAGAATAAACAGAACATCTGGCGAAACCAGGCGGTGGTGACAGGAGTGTGGTTTTGTCAAACAGGGCAGCGTGTCAGCTGCATCTCCGAGATTTTGCCGCTGCCGCGCGCGACTGCCGAGAAGCTACCGCTGCTGATCCCATGAACGTTGCCTGGCATTTCAAAAAGAGCTTCAGAACGGTTGCCTTGGAGTTCATACCCAAACCCTAAACCTTTAACCCTAAACCCAGGTCAAGGCCCACTGCAGGCTGGCCAAAGCACTGATAGAGGAGGGCCAGGGCAGCTCCGTCGAAGCTGCGATTGCAGCTGCGGTGTCCGTGGCGCTGTCGCGTGGAAGAAGCCAGGAGATCAAGGACATGTACCAGCTCATCGCCGCCATGCAGGAAAGTCAGAAGCAGATCGCCCTCAGGCTGCCTCAGGATGCATCCAAGATTGCCCTCGCGACCTCTGATCTTGAGGTGGAAAATGCCCTCCGGGCTGCCGATGTCGTTGTCCTGGCACCGAACAAGGCGAGGTGGTGGTTAGATTGAACTTCAGGGGTAGGCCTCCATGACATGACATGCCATCTTCTCATCTGGTGACTCTGTGATTCAGGCCTACCTGCTTCCAGAACCAGTTCGTCGATCTACCTGGACAGTTCTAGGTCTAGAAGGGGCAAGGATCGAATGCCCGTATTCGCACGCGATCCACGTCAACTTGCCGCAAGAGGTCACCCTTGCCAACGTGCGCCTGAGAGGCGCAGGCGAAAACACCGCATGCGCTACGGTGAGTCATAGCAAGGCAGTCTTGACGCTGATCGGCTGCAACGTTGATCAGTATGAGGATGCTGCGTGCCTTGCGGTGCAAGGCTTGATCAAAGCGCGTTCTTGTGTGTTTCGCAACCTTGGCACCCATGCAGTCGAGGTCCGTGAAGGAGGGTCTTTTGTTGCTGAGCAGGCACAGTTTGAGAAGTTCAAGCAGGGCATTTGTGCATATGGTGGAGCGAGACATGTCTCGCTCAAGAATTGCGAGATCAAGTCCTGCTCGCATCTTGGCAAATGGAACATTCTTAAATGCGGCGACCAGAGCGCAGGGCCATGCCGAGCAATTGGCTGCTATGAGCGGACCAACACAGGCGGCTGAGGAGTGGGGAAGGGCACGTGGGATACAGACGGAAGTTCTCATCTCAGATTCCATCATCCGAGATATGGCTTCCTTTGGTGTTTCCGTGGGTATGGGCGCTAATGTTTCTGTTCATCAATGCAAATGCATCAACAACGATCCCGTGTCCTTCTTTGTCAAAGACGGCTCCAACTTCACGCTCTCCGCGAGTCTGGTGTATTACACGCGCCAGCGGTCGAGGTGCACATGGGCAGGAGGCTGGACGCACCCGACCAATGCGGTCAACATCGGCACGAACTATGGAGGCGAAGTGAGGCTGCTTCAGAATGCTTTCATCGGCCCGGGTAGCATGGCAGAAGCCATGCACGAGGACTTCCGGATCTTGCCCCAACATATGAAGTCCCTGGGCATGTGGTCCAGCCCTGCGTACCAGGAAGGGAATGAGCACTTCACCAAGGACTCAGCAGAAGTTCCCAGCTTGGAAGCCTTAGCCGCCAGGCTCCCCAAAGCCTGCCGGCCCACGGTTGTGGATGTGAAGCGTCGCGACGAGACTCGCATGCCACTGCTAGCGCATCAGCGCCCGTGCTACACGGTGGCAGATGCACATTGGTCACCAACAAGCAGCCAGTATTATGCCATCGGCAACACCTTCGGTTTCAGCGTAGCACGTGACATCCCAAAGGAGGTGTCCAATGTCAGTGTTCTTCTCGCCGCTTGTGGGGATATCAGGAACCTGCTCGCCACCGTGTCAGCCTGCCCCGCAACGCCGCTATCCCAGTTGCCTTGTTGAGACTCCTAAACCTTAAGCTTTATACACCCCAAGCCTCAAACCTAGCAGGTCAGCGGAGAGTATCGCAAAATCTTACAGTAACAGGTCCTCTGTCTCGCTACCTGGTGGTCGCTAATTGTGCAGCATCAAGCATCGAAATAAGCTAGCCACCTGACTCATGACTGTCCATGAGATTCAGCTTAGTCCTGAGGTCTTTACACTTTACGCTCAACGATGGCAACAAAAGTATGCTCGCAAGGAATTTGACACTTTTGCAGCTGATTGCCCAAGGAGCGGCGGATGAAGACGTCCTGGCGGTTTGGGCCAACCACTGTCTTACCACTCATCAAAGAGACGTGCTGTTGGATGCACTCAAGGCGTTGGAAAGCAAATCTTCGCATCCGCCGTGGATTTCTCACGACGCATCCTTGCAAGGCGTCTTCACGGAGTGGATGACCGCGCAAGAGGTCTTTTCAGCAGATGAGCTTCTGCGCAAGAGGCAGCCGGGCCTCGACATCTCGACAAGTGAGGAGCTGTCATGCACCGCTGCAGCTGCAGGAGGCAAGCTGTCTGCCAGAGCCCGACGAGAGATCGCCTCGTACATCAAAACAGGCAGCCTTCCGGACCTGGCAGCCTGCCAGGGCAGTGAAGATGCCCGCGCCTGCGTCAACCCGACGCTGTTGCTGGCACCTGGGCTTCAGCCACTTAGCCGCAGCAGGGGTTTGTTTGGGGTCTCAAAAGGGGTTTCAAAAGGGGTTTTTAGGGGTTTTGAAAGGGGTCTTAGGGGTTTTGAGAGGGAGAGTGCTCGGACATCTTTGAGTTTTGGTGCGTGGCATCGCGTGATACCAGAGTCTTGGGTTCGTTCCTTTTGTGTTCGCCGTCCAGCCCGCCAGGCCTTTAGTCAGAATGCTAACTGGCCTCCTCCCCCCCATTTGTCAGATTCGTTGGCTGTTGCATCCAGAGGCACGGAGTCTTTGTGCGACTTGCTGCCGCCTAGGTACACGGTCTACTTCTCAACTTCGATCTTCCGGGCGGTCCCGCTTGCCGGGACAGCCACCTCGGCTGTCGAAGGCCTTCTCGACACGTTGAAGCCGCAGTTTGAATCCTTCCGACAGGCAGTGGAGGAACACAGAGTGTTCGTCAGGACAGAGGCTGGAGATGTGCTAGGCGTGATGCAGAGTTATGCTTCGAAGCAGCAGTTCGACTTCATCGATACCTCCAATGTGGCAGACTACGTGTCGATGGCTGCCATCTTGCATGCGTCAAGCCGCGTTCTCAAGCCCCAAGGCTACACCCGGGTAGTGGCGGAATCAGTGATCAACGGTTGCATCGTTCCAGCAGATCCGCCCACCTCATATCTTGGGAAATCGGTGCCTCCAGGACTGCTCAAATCCATCACTGGCCTTGAGTTCGACAGGGCCGAGTGTCTTGTCACCTCAGTCCGAACCTCCTGGAAGTTATCAGAGCCGATGCCCTCTGCCCCAGGTCGGTTGCTCTTGGATCTTGCCTCGGCCGTGACAGCCAGCAGGGCAACCGACGTTCGTCTGCAAGCTCGTGTGATGATTTGTGCGCACCCAGCCATAGCAACCCTGATGAACATGATCCGCTGCACCCAAGATGAAAGGTTCTTGGGGCTCCTTGTGAAGCTGGAGGCAGCTCCAGAACATGATTGGGAAGCCGAGGTGTGGGCTTCTCAGGAGAAGGAGCTCTCGCTCCTTTCGTTTGATGCCGACGTGGAGCTACGACTGATACCATACAAATCGAACGAACCCCCTTCTCTTGGTCCTGTCCCCTTCGCAACTTGCTTGCCAGGGCCCTGTGCCCCAGGGCGTGCAGATCGTGACGACGATGAGCTGGGACGAGGAGATGGGAGTTGCCTCCTTTCTGATGTCCCCAGCCAGAGCTGCCCAAACCAGGCAGTGGTATGCAACGCTTGCTTGTATAGCAGCCACCGGCATCACCACAGTGGGAGTGAGTCGGCAGCTTGGAACGATGAGCTGCAAAGCGGTTGCTAACCCATGCCAGACGAAGCGGGAGACCTCATCTTTTGATGGCGGACTGAGCTTTTTGCTGAAGATGCCCATTCAAGAGGGCGTCTGCTTCCAGTGGGGTGAGTCTTGGGTGGATTGCCTTCTGCCAGCTCCGGTCAACTCAAAGTCTCGTCTGGCCATACAAGAGCAGGAGTCAGGGCTCTGCGTCAAGCTCGATGACGAGCAGTATCTTGTTCCTTGGCCACCAAGCAGACCTCAGGGCAAAAGGAGCAGCAGGATCCACAGGAAGCTTGGCTTCCTGTCGATTCTCTTCCTGCCGGCCGCTGACCGGTAGACCATCCGCCTTGACCATGAATGCGGCAGATTGGTGAGCAGTGCCAAAGTCTAGTGATGCCTATTCCAAAACTTTGGGCTGCTTCGGGATGATCGACCATGCAGTGTAGAAGGCAAGGTGCAAGGAAAAGGCACGTTGCTTCTCGGCTGGCTTGCCTTTACAGCATCTCTGCACTTTTGATGCATGCATGCAAGGCCGGGGGCAAACCCGCCGTCTGTCTTTTTCATGGAATTGTATCGGCGAAATCCCAAAATAGGGGTACCTCCAGAATACTATCATCCTCTGCAAGCTTGCGTGTGGCTGAGGCGGGGATCCTGCAATTTCTATATTGGGGTCCCCTATGTTTCGTAAACCCCCAACTGTCTCATGCGCTTGAGCTGTGTTTCTTAAAATAGAATTAGAAAAAGTGAGCACCCAAGATCCTTAGACCAAGGTGCTCTAAGCATCCCAAGGCTCGCACATGTCCAAGTGTCCCAAGTACTGACGATGGCGACGAAGATGGTTGTGATGATGATGATGATGATGATGATGATGATGATGATGATGATGATGGCGACATTGGTAAGGGCAGTGAGATGAGGCAACGTGCTGAATGGGAGCTTGGTGTAGCGGAGTGCTTCATCGATGTTCACTGTTCCTGTCAGGAGAGGATTTGGCGCCACGCCTTCTACAACGAGCCGCCCTTTGTGACTTCCGGGGAACACACTGTCCTACTGATGGAGGCTTCACCGAATTCCGAAGCCATCACACTGAACCCCCTCAACCCGGCCTCGGAAGCCCTAAACCCTACACCCTACACCCTACACCCTACACCCTACACCCTACACCCTACACCCTACACCCTAAACCCTAAACCCCAAGCCCGAAACCCTAAAGCCAATGTAGAGGCATCGAGAACCCGAATACATGTTGATAGGGGCCCCATTGCATGCAGGGTTTGGGGTTCAGGGGCCGGGGATTCGGGTTTAGGGTTTAGGTTTCGGGATTTAGTGTTTAGAGTTATTAGTACCTTGGGGTGTGCTGGGCCTCATGAATATTTTCAAGCTGCGAGGTGCGAACTTTTAGAAGTAAACCTAGAGGAGAACCATGAGCTGTTTTACTTTGATCATTGTTGCCACGTTCCTTGATGACCCAAGCTGCCCACTTGCAAGACTTGAAGTCCTGGTTGATACATGACCCTGCGAGCGAGATCGGCTTAAGCGTTGTGAACCTATCCAACGCGCAGCCATGGATGTTAACAAGGCGGAAGCTCCCAACCTCTCGCCTAGACCCTAAACCCCTTAAAAAATTGAATGCCCCCTCCCCTGCCCGAACCCTCAAGCCCTCAAGCCCTCAAGCCCTCAAGCCCTCAAGCCCTCAAGCCCTCAAGCCCTCAAGCCCTCAAGCCCTCAAGCCCTCAAGCCCTCAAGCCCTCAAGCCCTCAAGCCCTCAAGCCCTCAAGCCCTCAAGCCCTCAAGCCCTCCCTCAAGCCCTCAAGCCCTCGAGCCCTCGAGCCCTCGAACCCTCAACCCTCAAGCCCGAAAGGATGATACAATACATGGTGAAGGTTGCTCAGCTGAAAGTGCCAAGGTAAGATACGCAACCGTTCAACCGGGGGAGATTGGAGCTAGTTTTCATTAGGGGTTTGGGGCTAGGGCCTTCTGCATTCAGCTTTATCTAGTGTTAACACACCCACCCGTCCAAGCATTTCAGAGTCCTGCTTCTTATGATGAAAGATAGTTGCTGTTGTGGAGCTGGCAGGTTCATGCAGGTTCGGTATTAGCGGGTGGGGTTAAGCAGGGTATACTTGGAGCACATGGCACACCCACATCCTAACAGCAGAGCCCCAAAACGCCGAAACCCAAAACACAACCCTGAACCCTACTCCGGTCCCGGTCTTTGGGCCACCTCTGCCCAAAACCCTAAACCCTAAACCCTAAACCCTAAACCCTAAACCCTAAACCCTAAACCCTAAACCCTAAACCCTAAACCCTAAACCCTAAACCCTAAACCCTAAACCCTAAACCCTAAACCCTAAACCCTGTTCGCATGTCAGAGGCGGCAGTTGTTGTGGTGGATTGCGGAAGTGGCATCTGCAAGGCGGGGGCTCGACTTGGAGGTTCAGGGTACTTAGAAGCCAATAACAAAGGGTGTAGGCTTTAGGGTTTAGGGTTTAGGGTTTAGGGTTTAGGGTTTAGGGTTTAGGGTTTAGGCCAATTATACGTGTAGTTATAACCCACTTATAAGCCACTGAAGTGTTTTTAACAGGGTTGGTTTATAAGTACAGTTATAATTGGGGCACAAAGTACCCTGAACCTCCAAGTAGGTGTTCGGATTCAGGGTTCGGTCTCTTAGGATTCAATGTCTGGGGTTTAGGAGATCACTACTATTTGCTTAAGAACCACCCAAAAATGCATAGAAAGGGATTATTGTTCTTTAGTTGTTGGGGGCTCTCAAGCAAATGTTACAGTAGGGTCTTGAAGATTGTCGGGTTGCAGGGTTGAGGGGTTCAATTTAAGGCTTTGAGGATTTTTAGGGCATACAGCTAAGGGCGGGTGATCTCTCGTTGGGCCCTTAATGTGGTATATAAGGGGTATGTAAGGGGTCCCTTTTAGGGCCCATATTGAGGGACCACAGAAGTACCCGAAGAACCACCGTGTCAGGCAGGTTTTGCTGGAGACGATGCCCCGCGATCCGTCTTCCCATCCGTGGTGGGCCGGCCGCGAATGCCGCCCATCATGGTTGGAATGGACCAGAAGGCCTGTCTCGGGCACCCTAAGCCCTAAGCCCTAAACCCTAAACCCTAGCCTTAAGCCCTAAACCCTAAACCCTAGAACCCTAAATCACTAAACCCTAAGCCCTAAGAATTTTGGATCCTCTCGTCCATATGGGCATTGCCCCCAATAGGGGGTCCGTATTTTTTTTTTTGGGGGGGGGGGGTATATTAGGAGGTGGAAATGCCCATCTTGCTGAATGCGAACTGATTATTCGTCAGGTTAGCTTCCCCCCTCCCATAGAGCAACTACTATGGGGGCCCCCCCACGCCCTGTACGCCCTTTAGGGTGCTCATTTCAGGCTGGTAGTTTCTTCCAGATGCCCCGCGTGCAACCCTTACATACCCCTAAGTGCCCTTATGAAGTTGTCCTACTACGCTAAACCGTAAGCCCTAAACCCGAAACCATCGACTCTAAACCTTATAAACCTCAAGCCCTTTACCCGAAGACCCTAAGCTTTCATCCCGCACGGTCAAGATTTCACTGCAATTCAGGGGACTGTAGGCAGCCTGATGAGAGAGAAAGTATGGGAAGGGTTTAGGGTTTCGGGTTTCGGGTTTCGGGTTTCGGGTTTAGGGTTTCGGGTTTAGGGTTTAGGTTTAGGGTTTAGGGCTCAGGGTTTAGGGTTTAGGGTTTAAGGTTTAGGGTTTAGGGTGTAGGGTGTAGGGTTTAGGGTTAGGTGCTTGGGTTTTAGGGTTAGGTGCTTAGGTTTTAGGTATGCTCTGCTGCGTGACAGGATGCCTTCATCGGTGAAGAGGCGCACAGCAGCACAATTGGCGTGCTCACGCTGGGGTACCCGATTGAATGTGGCATCATCACCCGTTGGGATGACATGGTGCCTCAGCTACATGGGGGGGGGGGGGGGGGGATCTCGAAATTCCGGAATACTTTTGTTTCGGGAGCGACCCAGGAATGTGATGATGAGGAGCATGCTGATGGGTGGTGATGGTGGTGATGGTGGTGGTGATGGTGGTGATGGTAGTGATGGTGACGGTGCCGATGATGGCGATGATGGCGGTGCTCGCCAGGTTGGGGTGAAGCAAAGGGCTTCGGTTTAATGCTCATGCCAGGAGAAGATTTGGCACCACGTCTTCTACAACGAGCTGCGGGTGGCTCCCGAGGAACACCGTGTCCTACTAACAGAGGCTCCGCTGAATCCCAAGGCCAACCGCGAGAAAATGGTACAGAAGATTTTCGAAGTGTTTCAAGCCCCTCGCCAGCCAGGCCTATTTTCCCTTCGGTTTGCTCTCTTACTCTCTCTCTCTCTCTTTCTCTCTCTCTCTCTCTCTTACTCTCTCTCTCTCTCTCTTACTCTCTCTCTCTCTCTCTCTTACCCTCTTACCCTCTTACTCTCTTACTCTCTTTCTCTCTTTCTCTCCTTCTTTCCTTCTCTCTTTCTCCCTTGCTCTCTTTCCCTTTCTGCTCCCTCCCTCTCTGCAGGATGAGGATGATACAAAATCTTCATAATCATCATACTATCCATACTGACAATAGTTGATAGTAGTCAGAATCGTAAAAACAATCACAGGAACAATATCTGTCGTAAGAATCACCACCACCACCATCATCATCATCATCATCACCGTCATCACCGTCATCATCACTGTCATCATCATCATCATCATGATGAATGTAAAGTTCTCCACCTGATTCCTGTACCCATGGCAGCTGCAGGTTCCTGGCGCGTACGTGGCCCTCTCTGGGATGCTGTCCCTGTACGCCTACGGCCGTCTAACGGGCATCGTCCTGGAGAGCCAGTGAAAACGCACAGCCAAACCCTTGCAAACCCTGAACCTTTAAACCCATGAAAGAGGGTTTTTATTGCTGTTATTGGTTATAGGGTTCAGCAGCACAATGCCACAGGTTGTAGCAGATGCAGTGGCGCTTCTGGTTTAGTGTTTGCGTGAGTCGAGTCGTACACTAGAGGGGTCTTTAAGCAGGACAGTGGCGATGGCGTGTCGCACACGATGCCGATCTTCGAAGGGTATGGCCTTCCCCATGCCATTTCGCGGGTGAACTTGGCGGGCCGCGACATCACCCAGTTCATGATGAAGATCTTATCCGAGCGCGGCCACTCCTTCACCACCAGCTCGGATCAGGAGATCGTTCGTGATGTTAAAGAGCAGCTATGCTACGTCGCATCGGACTTCGACAGCGAGATGGCGAGAACGCACAACGAAGCCAGTGAGGACAGGTCGTACAAGCTTCCCGACGGCAAGGCCATGATCATTGCAGCCGAGCGTTTCCGCTGTCCGGAGGCTTCGTAGCTCAAAATGATGGTGTTGAATAGTGGAAAGACCATGGTAGCCCTCAGACCTTAGGGTTTATCAGTTTTAGGTTTTAGGGTTTCTTTCTTTTTCCTTCTGCTCTCTCTATCTCTCTCTGTCTGTCTTTCTGCTGCGATAGAGTCCTGACGAATGCGAGCCGCACCTCATCAAGGCGATGAGGATTTAGGGTTTAGGTTGTTGGTTCCCTAGCCGTCCCTAGCCCCCGGGTCCTATGTGCTCTGGGCACATCCGGGGGTACAAGGAGGGACCCCGAGAAGGGAGCATCAATCTTATTCCCCTATATGGCCCCTTCATAACCCCTGCATATACCTTATATAGTCCCTATATACCTATGTGGCCCCTAAATTGCTTATTCGGGTCCCTCCTTTGGTCCCTTGAGAATCGAGCATTCCCGGCAGGTGCTCTTCCAGCCAGGCTTTCTGGGCAGGGAGGCTGAGGGCATCCACGTCATGACTTTCAAGTCCATCATGGCCTGCGACGTGCATCTCCGCAAGGAGCCCTCTGAAACCCGAAACGCTAAACCCTAAACCCTAAACCCTAAGCCCTAAACCCTAGCCCTAAACCCTGAGCCCTAAGCCCTAAGCCCTAAACCCTAAACCCTAAACCCTAAGCCCTAACCTCTAAGCCCAAAGCCCTAAGCAAGGACCTCTTCGCCAACGTGGTTTTGTCTGGAGGTACGACTCTCCTCCCCGGCTTTGCCGAGCGCATGACCAAGAAGCTGGTTGCCTTGGCCCCGGAAACGGCAGAGGTCAAGGTAGGAGTTGACGAAAATAAGGGATTTAGGGTTTAGGGTTTATAGGGTTTAGGGTTTAGGGTTTAGGGTTTAAGGTTTAAGGTTTAAGGTTTAGGGTTTAGGGTTTAGGGCAATATAGACCCCCAAAGGGTAGGATCCCCTTGTGTAATAAGGACTCCCAGTAAGGTACCTCCAACATATCGGAATCCCCAGGTAGTTGCACCTCCAGCACGCAAGCACAGCGTGTGGCGAGGAGGCTCCATACTTTCCAGCCTCGAGACCTTCCAGCAAATGTGGATCTCTCAGGCGGACTACGATGAGCTTGGCCCCTGCATCGCGCACCGCAAGTGCTTCTGAGTCGAGCCTCTGAATTCAATTGCGAGCCCTAGCTCGATGACGTACTCATGTGGGCATCTCTCTCTAGATTGTGGTCCCTTTTGGGGTTCCGCTTGTAACACATGTCAGGGTACCCGAAAAGGAATCAACATCTAGAGAGCTGCCCGTGCAGAGTCTAGATAGTCTGTAGCAGTCCACACTTTCTCTGGACGGGTTCCGTGATGACAGCTGACAAGCATGTTTTTTCTGGGCTGACACTACCTTGATACCTCATCTGTAGCCGCTCTGAACTACCAATGCACTTTGTGCAACGCTACGCAGCGATAATCGGAATTCCTTTAAACTCCTTCAGAACTCCTATATAACTCCTTAAAACCTCCTCTACTGAAACTCCCATGCACTTCCCCTTACTTCTTTGTACGGCTTCTATGCAATTCTCACAAATTTCTTGCAGAACTCATATATATAGTTCCTAGAACACCCAATGTGTAACTCCTGTTTCGCTCTGTACGTATTTCCAGTACGCTTCCTATGAACTCCCATGTACTTCCTTGGTGTAACATGAGCCGCAATACGGGAGCCGTGAAGGTTCCAACGCAATTCCCTGATAATCCCAAACCCTAAACCCTAAACCCTAAACCCGAAACCCGAAACCCGAAACCCGAAACCCTAAACCCTAAACCCTAAACCCTAAACCCGAAACCCTAAACCCTAAAACCTACACCCCAAACCCTAAACCCTAAACCCTAAACCCTAAACCTATAGGGGGCCTCTTTTTATTCGAAATGGTTTTGTGGGGTAGCGTGCGTTGTGCTGTTGCTTTAAGAGGGAGCCTCAGGGTCAAGTGAACCTGCCGCAAGCTCTACCCAACACCCTTAAACATCCCTACAACCAACCCCCTCCCCCCCTCCCCCTGCGTGATATACTCCCTGGCTCTTAGTAGGGAATGAGGGAATGAGGTACCCTATATATACCCTTAAGTACCTCATTCCCTCATTCCCTACCAAGAGCCAGGGAGTATATTTCCCTGCCAAAGCGTGCTTGGATTGCTTCTCTTGTTTCAAGTGACTCCACATTCACCTCGTCTGGTCCCATACCATGATATATTCGTATTTATGAGTACGAATGCTGCTAAAATGAAGATTAGTCTCTCGTATATACTGCTAGTAGCAATCTTCGTGCAGATATGAACCTCCAAAGCCCCCGAAACCCTAAAACCCTGAGCCCGAAACTTCAAGAACCCCTAAACCACTAGCAATCCCGAAGCCCCTAAACCCCGAAACCCCGAAACCCCCTAAACCCTTAAACCCCTAAACCCCTTAAGCTCCTAAACCCCAAAACCCTAAGCCCCAAAACCCCCAAAACCCCCAAAACCCCTAAACCCCAAAGCCCCTAAACCCGAAACCCTAAACCCCAAAACCCCAGAAGCCTTCAAACCCTAAACCCCTAAATCCCTAAGCCCCTGAAACCCTAACCCCCAAACCCCAGAAGCCTTCACACCCTGAACCCCTAAATCCCTAAGCCCTGAAACCCTAAACCCCAAAACCCCAAAACCCCTAAACCCCTAAACCCCTAAACCCTAAACCCTAGGCCCTAAACCCCCAAACCCTAAACCCTAACCCCAAAACCCTAAACCCTAACCCCAAAACCCCCAAACCCTTAGCAGGGACCGTGACTTGACGCAGGTCCCCGGCCGTTACCTGGGAGATCCCAACGCGTCCTTGGGGACAAAAGAAGCCAAGCTCGGCTCCTTAAGAGGGCTTATGGGACCTTTGGCGTTTAGGGTTTAGGGTTTAGGGCCTAGGGTTTAGGGTTTAGGGTTTAGGGTTTAGGGTTTAGGGGTTTAGGGGTTTAGGGGTTTGGGGTTTGGGGTTTAGGGTTTAGGGGTTTCGGGGTTTAGGGGTTTCGGGGTTTTTAGGGGTTTAGGGTTTAGGGGTTAGGGTTTTTAGGGGTTTAGGGTTAGGGGTTTAGGGTTTTGGGTTAGGGGTTTAGGGGTTAGGGGTTTAGGGGTTTAGGGGTTTAGGGGTTTTTAGGGGTTTAGGGGTTTAGGGGTTTAGGGGTTTAGGGGTTTAGGGGTTTAGGGGTTTAGGGGTTTAGGGGTTTAGGGTTCAGGGTTTAGGGTTTAGGGTTTAGGGTTTAGGCTTTATGGGTTTTGGCGCCCCAGGCCCCATAGAGTTTAGGGTTCAGGGTGCAGGGGTTTGGGGTTGTTTAGGGTTGCTTAGGGTGTAGCTTGTAGGTTTTAGTGTTGCTAACGCTCTTTCAGCAGTGAGCCTGCCTCTGTCAGAGAACGCCAAGCGGTTGAGACCGAATAAAATACCTCACACGATGTAGCCCCTTCGGCCCGTAATACATTGCGCCGGGGAAGCAGTACTGGTCTTCTGAACCCTAACCCATATTGTTTGAAGGTTCTTTTGGCTTTAAGGAAAAGTCGACAGACCCCAACATTCCGGCGATCCGGCCTTGGGCGAACCGTTGCGATGTCCCAACCCTAAACCCTAAACACCAAATTTAAGCCCTAAACCCTAAACCCGAGAACCTAAACCCTACCCTACACCCTGAACCATAAACCCTAAACCCTACACCCGAAACCCCAAGCCCTAAACCCAATATCCGACACCCTAAGCCCTAAACACTAAACCCTAAACCATATACCCTATACCATAAACCTAAACCCTCAACCTTAAACCCTAAACCCTAAACCCTGAACCCAACCCTGAACCCCAAACCCTAACCCTAAACCCTGAACCCTACACCCTAAACCCTAAACCCTACACCTAAACCCTAAACCCTGCACACCCTGCACCCTGCACCCTAAACCCTAAACCCTAAACCCTATACCCTAAACCCTAAACCCGGAATCCTGTTGGAGTTCACGTTGCCACGAGTTCCCGAAGCTGCCAACTGCGTTGAGTGCCTGTCCCCTGCGATGCCCAAGCAGTACGGACGACGCCCCGCAAGCCACCGCATTAGCATCATGTGTGTTTAGGGTTTAGGGTTTAGGGTTTAGGGTTTAGGGTTTAGGGTTTAGGGTTTAGGGCCTGCTTAGGAACGACGCCTGCTTTTCATAGGAAAGCTTCAGGCATCTCGAAAAACGAATGGCACCTTCTTTGTGTGCCCCAAGATGCTACACTTCTGCATGGCAACCCCTTAAAAGGGGTATGAGGGGTAGCCCTGATTGTCGAAAACGCCTCCGTTAGAGAAAGCCCTCAGCCTTAAACCACAAGCCCCAAACCCTAGACCCTAGACCCTAAACCCTAAACCCTAAACCCCGAAACCCCGAAACCCCGAAACCCTAAACCCTAAACCCTAAACCCTAAACCCTAAACCCTAAACCCTAAACCCTAAACCCTAAACCTACTTAACCCCCTGAGCCCTTAAACAGGGGCACCCGCCACTTAGAGCTCCCATGTCGAAGCGGAAGCCTCCGGCCGGCGGGTGGTCAGGCCTCAGGGGGGGGGGTTTGGGGTTTAGGGTTTAGGGTTTAGGGTTTAGGGTTTAGGGTTTAGGGTTTAGGGTTTAGGGTTTAGGGTTTAGGGGTTTAGGGGTTTAGGGGTTTAGCGGTTTAGGGGTTTAGGGGTTTAGGGTTTAGGGTTTAGGGTTTAGGGTTTAGGGTTTAGGGTTTAGGGTTTAGGGTTAGGGGTTAAGGGTTTAGGGGTTTAGGGGTTTAGGGTTTAGGGGTTGAGGGGTTTAGGGGTTTAGGGGTTAAGGGTTTAGGGGTTTAGGGGTTTAGGGGTTTGGGGGTTTAGGGGTTTAGGGTTTAGGGGTTTAGGGGTTAGGGTTTAGGACTTTAGGGGGTTAGGGTTCAGGGTTTAGGAGTTTAGGGTTGCTTGGGGTTCAGGTTGAGGTTTGGATTTGGGGTTTCGGGGCTTAGGGGTTGAGGTTTAGGGGTGCTCGGAATGATGTGTGGTTCACGAGCATGGTGTTGTGATTCCGAATGAGGCCATGATCAGCTGCAACTCCAGTTACTCCAGTTGCCCTAGGCGCAGCCTTCACCCAGAGCTTCCAGTCATCCGCAACGAAAAGGGATATTTCTTAGACTCTATAGTGAGCATCCTATTCCCCAAAGCCCCCAACCCCTCATCCCAAAACCCTAAACCCCCAGAAGTCTAACCCTAAACTCTAAACCCTAAACCCCAAACCCCAAACCCCAAACCCCAAACCCTAAACCCTAAATCCTAAACCCCAGAACCCTCGAGCCCCCCATGCCGAAGCGCACTTGAGCAAAGGCCGGCCAGCCCTTCAGCCCAAAGAGGCCTCGCGCGCACAGTTGCATGGTTCGTGATGTGCTCAGCTATGGGGATCTGGGTTTGGGGTTTCGAATTTAGGGTTGAATTGTCTTAGGGTTCAGGGGCTTCGGGTGTTAGGGTTTAGGGTTTTAGGGTTTAGGGTTTCGGGGTTTAAGGGTTGAGGATGTAGGGTTTGCGTGGGCTTGGGGTGGGGTGGGGGGCCCAGTGGGGGGGGGGGGGGGGTAGGTTGATATGGATGGAGCGTCCTTCTGGGTAAACGCAACAAGAACCGCCGCTCGCTGGAGGGATCCTAGCCTCTAGGGTTTAAGGGTTTAAGGGTTCTAGGGTTCTGCGGTTTTTTGAGGTTTAGGGTTTTAGAGTTCAGGGTGTTCGGGTTTTTGGTCAGGGGTTCCAGGGTTTTCGGGTTTTAGAGTTCAGGGTTCATGATTTTGAGTTTGAGGGTTTTAGGGGTTCTCTGGGGCATGTAGAGACTGAGCCTCTTTGGGGCTGCACCGCGGGAGGCTGAGGATGAGTTTGAGGAGGTGGAGGCCGGGGGCGGTTGTGGGGGTTTAGGGTTTAGGGGTTTGGGGGTTCAGGGGTTTAGGGGTTTGGGGGTTGCGGGGGTTTAGGGTTTGGGGGTTTGGGGGTTTTGGGGTTTACGGGTTTTAGGGGTCTGGGGTTTAGGCTCAGGGGTTTAGGGGTTTTGGGGTTTTGGGGGTTTGGGGTTTGGGTTAAGGGGCTTGGGGTTTAGTTGATTTTGGGGTTTTGGGTTTAGGGGTTTACGGGTTTAGGGTT